CCCCCCCAAAACAAAACAAAACAAAACAAACACACACACAAAAAACTGGCACTTTATACTCAGCATGCCCCTGTGCCAAACCTAGCATATGTCCAGGACAGGTATCGCATGAATTGGACCTGAGTAACCCAACATCTGCATAGATTGGGTGCTTCAGCAGGGGACTTTTAGCACACTTATCTAATAGTTGATTAAATCAGCTTTAGTTAAAAGAGCCAAAAAGCCCTGCTGCAGCGCCCGATCTATACAGATGCTATAGAACCAGGTTGAACTAACACACTGCCCCTTTAGGTAAAAGCACATTTGTTTGTTTTCATACCTGTCAGCATCCAGAGTGAACTAAGTTAGTTTTCCTAGCAAGGAACATTTATACAGAAATCCAGCATGCTTATGTGCATTGATTTCAGCCTTCTGTTTCATCTTAATTTTCTTGGGTATCTCCAGGTGGTTGAGCCCTCTGTGTGTAAAAAATTTTTTAAAAAAATCAAAAAATAAAAAAAATCAGGTGTACTATTGCACTTACCTGTGGTCTGCATGTACTTCTGAACATGGTTAGTAGCACTCTTGTTGTGCTTGTTGAAACAATTCCAGTCTAGGTCTTGTTCTTCCGCGTTCAAGAACATCCTTAGGTTTGTTAACATAGAAGATCACTGCAATAGACTGAAATCAGAAGTTCGTAAGTGACTGTGAACAATAAGGATAAGTACTTTGAACATGGTTTTTGCACAAAATAAGGAGTTGGGCCTGAAGAGTGGAGCACTGAGGGGTTTATGCTGCAAAAAATGTATTGGTAATGTGGTGGGATTACATATATTGTAACAAAAGCTGATCTGATTAAGATGCTTTGGCTTACAAAACAAACGGCAGTAGAAGGTTCAGCAAATAAAGTACAGGCCAGAGAATTTTGCTACTCATAATATGTCCACACTAAGAGCGTACAACTCCAGGCAATCCATGTGATGGAGCATTTTAGAGAAGTTCAGTGATGATAAATCTAACTAGAAAAATGCACTCTATTTTTTCACATACCATATACCTCCAAATAAGACACGGTGTTCTCTGGAAGGCAGAATAAAGAAGAAAAGGTTTTTTCCAATGTTATGGCTGTGTACAGCAGGGATAGAGCTTAATCTTCAACTTTCCTTTCCTGCTCAGGCAAAAAAAAGTACAGGTTTAACCCTTTCACAGCTGCACAGCAAAAAGCTGAAACTGACTGCTGTTGAAGATTAGACTCCATGTGCAGATCTACGATTTAGAAAAATGCTAAAAATGGTCTGCAGGGCTGTGAAATAGGAGGAGAGAAACCAGGAATAGCTGAATTGTGAATTCTTCAGCAAAACTACTAAAGAAAGGATAGCTAGATTAGTGAATCATAAAGATAATTAAAAAAGAGTAGTCTGTTAACACCTATTGAGGGAAGAGCAATTCCTATTGAAAGAGAGACAATTAGCAGGAATCAAATACCGTATTTTCTTGCTTATAGTGTGACTTGGAATAAAATATGCACCCTGTTTTTGAAAGGCAGAGTGAAGGAAAAAGGATCTTTGTAATAAGTAACTGAACAGCAGCAGCTAGGGAGCTTAGTCTCCTCATTATTCTGCTCCCTGTGAGTTGTGTGCAGATTTTACTTTTGGTCGGAAAGGCAGAAACTGCTCTTATTGTATTTCTTGCATATTATGGTGCACTGACATATCTAGCAGCTGTTTGGGGGTTTTTTTTGGGTGTGGGGGGAGGAGGACATGGAAAGGAGGTGCAAGTTGTATGGAAGGAAATATGGTAGATTATAATGATCCCTGAAACACGTAGACTCCCCACATACAAAATGCCACCGCTGCTATTCTGGACAGAAAATCAGGTTTCCCCTCCTGTTCTCTCCTCCCCCC